CCATAGCTCCCAGTTCTATATCCAGCCCCACTGGCTGCAAGGCTTTCAATAAGCCAAAGCTTGGAAGATTCTGAGTTCACCTTCATAGAGTTTATTTAGTGATAGCTATTGGTCCAAAGTGTAGAGCTGATGAGGCTAAGGGTCTCATCCCAAAGGTACCAGTGAGCTAAAGCTACAGCCAATCTACCCCATCACCCCTTGCTACTTCTGTGATTCTTCTGGGGAGCTTGTTAAAACGTAGATTCAGATTCAGTATATCTGGGGTGGAAAGGTAAATTCTCAGCAGGGGGTTGGACCAGAACAAACCGGTTTGAAGCCCTGTTGAAAAGTTATCTTTAGTTGTAAATAGAGGAGAAAACACTACTCTTGTACATATAGTATACCACGCACCATACCTCAATGGGGCCTTGGTGGTACAGTGGTTAATTGTTTGGCTGCTAACCAAAAGTCAGCCGTTCAAATCCACCAGCTACTCCTTGGAAACCCTATGGGGCAATTCTACTCTGTCCTATAGGGTCGCTATGAGTTGGAATTGACTCAATGGCAATGGGTTTGTTTTTATACCTCATTAACATGCTGTATAGTAGAAATTTTGATAAGACTTTTAAGCCTACTTAGATATGGTTTTAAAAAAAAGGTAGGAAGTTGGGGCAAAAAGAAGATGAAAAGAAAACCAAAGTGCTCACACTATTGATTTGCATTAAAGTTTATTTCTTCTGTAGGTAGAGAGAACCAAACAAAAAGAATTGGCTAGTAGATTGGGCACGATAAACGGATCCGCAGAAAGATACTATTCTCTACTCAAAAGAGCACTGACTATTTTATTGGGTTATAATATTGAAAAGATAGAAGGACTAGAGAGTTTGATCTATTGAAAAGGGTGTTGATGAACTGATGTTCCATGGTAAAGAAAGAGAAGAAAGGACAAAGCTACTGGTTTGAAAGATCATACCATAGTATAGGGGTCAGTGGGTCTTAAAAAGATACAAGAATCATTGAAGTGGGAGAAGTTGAACAAGCAACACAGAAGAAAATGAGGCTGTGGTCAGAGAGTGAGATGTTTGAATCAATGACTTTGGAGGTGATGCAGCTACAGTTGATGATCAGATCCAGGATCCAAGCAATGTGTAGCTGAAGGAGAGTAGAAGAATCACTGGAGATGAAAGGCCATGGGTTTAACTCCATCAAGTCTCTTTCATTTGCAGTGGATAGAAAATACAAATCAAACTTGTATTATAGGAAGGAAATGCATTAGATTCTGTTATTAAAAAGTCCAGGGGTAGTCTAGCTTCAGGCATGGCTGAATCCGTGAGCCTAGATGGTGTCATCAGGACCTGGGTTCTCCTCATGTCTCAGCTCTGCTGTCCTCTGTATTGATTCCAGTCTCAGGCAAGCTCTCCTCTAGTGGTAAAAAAACATCTGCCAGCAACTCCAGGCTTTCATCCTATAGGTCCGAGACCAACAGAAAAGAGAATGTGTCTCTTCCTCAACTACTTGAGGCAAAGTTCTGGGCATCACTCTTATTGGTCCAAATTTGAGTCACATTTCCACATTTGAAGCAATCACTGTGGTCAAGGGCACAGATGCTTTGATTGGCCAGACCTGAGTATCACATCTACTTGTGGAGTTGGGGGTGTAGTTAAACCTATATGAAAAACATAAACTGACAGGATCGGAGGTGGTTCACCAGAGGAAAAATGGGATGTTGCTACCAGAAGAAGAGGTTATGTATGCTGGGCAGCAAAAGGAGCCCTGGTTGCTCAGTAGTTAAGAGCTTGGCTACTAACCAAAAGGCTGGCAGTTTGAATCCACCAGCTGCTCTTTGGAAACCCTATGGGGCAGTTCTACTCTGTCCTATAGGGTCACTAGGAGTTGGAATGGACTCGATGGCAATGGGTTTGGTTTTGGTTTTGGGTTGGGCGCAAAAACAATGGATGTCTTTCTTCTACAGCGTTGAGCATATTGTTCATGAGGTCATTCAGGTTGATGGCAGAACTTGAGGTGGAGAAATACCATAAATCCAGAGTCTTTGATGAAAGAAGAGGCATGGCCTGGTGACAGTGACATCATGTATAAAACAGAACTTGTAGTGGTAATACAAGTACCTTTTGATAACTCTTTAGACTGCAAGATCTTTAAAGACAAAGGAATTTACATCCCTGGTATCTACTAGAGGGCCTGATACTCAATAAATGCTTGTAAATAAATGGACGGATGGATGATGGATGATGAACAAACAAATGAATCAGTGAGTTTGAAAATAGCTAGAAATAGGTTCATAGTATTTGGTAAAAAAAAAAGTTCAACAACCAAATGGCTTTTAAAAATGTACATCTTTATTCAGTTACCTCAGAAATGATGAATTGTGAAAAGAGCAGTGACTTTGAAGTCAGACAAACCCAGGTTTGAATCCTGGCTTTGTGTGACCTTGTGCAAGTAATTTAGCTACTCTAAGTCTCAGTTTCCTCATCTATAACATTGGGAAATATTTGGGGAGGGTCAGAGCCAACAAAACAATTTCCCAAAAAGATCCAAGGGTGGCATTCATTATTCTGATGAATTTACTATGGACAGAGCCTAACTCTCCGCCTGAGAGAATAGAAAACCTCCTTTTATCTCCATCTGTAAAATGGGGTGATAGAGTAGCTCATAGACTTTTTGTGAGGGTTAAATTAATTCATGTTAAGTAGTTAGTACATAGTAAGGGCACAGTAAATGTTAGCTGCTACTTTTTTTTTTCCTTTATAGTCCCTTTCTCCTGGAATAGTCTGACTTTATCAAAGTAAAAGAAAAGAGTTTGCACTTTAATAAAGACAGCCTTTAGCCAGAGGCAAGATTGCTCACTGTCTCTTGAAGATGCAGTGTCAGTGCTCAACTTGGTCAAGGGTTACACCCTGCCGGTAGCCTGGGCCACAAAGGATGGTCAGGCACTAACTCAGTTTAGGCCTGCATCCAGATATAGAGAGGGGAGTCAAGATGTGATGAGAATATAATCCAGCCCAGAGCAGCCTAAACTGGGAGAGACACCAACTGGTCTGGGTCTAGGTCATTTCCACGCCAGAAGATTCAGGTCTTAAGCATGTAGGATCCCAGGGTTAGCGAGCATCATGATGACCCAGCTCCCACTAGATATGTATATCTCCGGGGCCCCTTAAATTTGTCTGGTTTCACAAGAGCATAGGAAGAATTGAGATACCATAGATCCTCCCAGAGAGGGCAAAGACTACCGCCTAGTGTTTGCAGTCCCCCAAATAGACCCCTTGATCAAATAGCCAAAGTGGTCGGCCTCGTTCAGGCTGTTACTCTCATGGCCATATCTGACTGCTGAATACCACCTTCCCTCATAGGTCACCCATCCCCTGGAACCTCTGTCCCTCACAGGAACAGGCTGGTTGGACTGCTTTGCTGTGGCCTCTGGAAAAACAGGGTCAGGAATGGAGTGGGAGAGCCATGGGCTGGGTGAAACCAGTATCTCCCAGGGTGGCCTAGGTGAGAGGGAGGAAGAGGAAAGTGAGGAAGCTTTGAGGGGGTTGCCAGGCCAGCTCTACAGGGCACACCTTGGGAAGAAGGAGAGAAGAGGTTATAGCCCACCTAAAAACTACCTATATTCTCTGGGTGGTGCAAACAGTTAATGCACTTGGCTGCCAACTGAAAAGTTAGGGTTCAAGTCCACCTAGAGGTACCTTGGAAGAAAGGCCTGGCAATCAACTTCTGAAAAATCAGCCATTGAAAACCCTATGGAGCACAGTTCTACTCTGACACACATGGGGTTGCCATGAATTGGAATCAACCTGACAGCAGCTGGTTTTTTAAAACTACCTGAAGGGCACATTTCTACACAAAATCCTTTGGAGTCCAGTCCCTACTCCCAAGAGAATATTATCCTTTTGGATTTTTAAACTCTCCCTGCAGACCTGAGTCTCCTTTTTGTGACTTCCTGCACATCCATGCTGCCTTGGCTACGTTGGCGTGGGGTTTGGAGGAAGATGGAGAGACGCTGTGTTCTGACCTCAGTCTCTGACGGTGACTCTGGAGAAGTGTTTTGTTCTTGGTGCATTTTTACCCCTGCACCACCCATCACCCTGATCCTCATTGCAGAAGTGTGTACTTAAAGAGGGAAGCAAGGCTGCCTGGGAGAGCAGAGGTCTCAGCATAGTCAAGCCCATGAGTAAGAAGCAGAAAGGGATCCTGGGGACAGTATCCAGGAGAAGACGCTGGTGACTGTCCTTTCCAGTGGGCTCTACCCTGGGGCCAGTTTTATCATCTGGAGGGACATCTCTGGCTGAGTGGACCTCCTCTCTCCTCTGCAAGCCCTGCAGGCTGGGGCCCATGCTGGAGGGGCCCACCTATGCAGGTGCAACAAGCAAGATTCTTCTCCTAGAAGCCTTAGCCTTGGGAGGAAGGGCTGGGCCTAGCTGCTCCTGAATTTTTACTTATCTCAAAGTCTCTGCTTCCCAACTCCCTACATCACATGGGTCCCTCTTACTTTCAAACCCAGCAAATAAAAGCTCACACCCCAGCACTTACCCAGGCAGAATCCTAGGCATCCCACCCCTCACCCCAAACCAGCCTTCCTGGGGTAGCAGTTGGAAACGCCTTCTGGGCCTGTCCCATGGGCTCCCCTTCCAGCTGGGTCTCAGCCCCGAAAGTGACAAGCCGTAGGGGAAGTTCCCCTGTGACAGCAGGAGGTTCGGGCACGCCTGGCTGTTGGGAAATTCGGCCCTCGTCAGGCGGCCGCGCTCGCCAGGGCAGCGTGACGCGGTGGCTAAAGGGCGGGGGCTCCGCGGCGGAGACTCGCCTTGTGCTTCTCCGCACCTGGCTTCCCTAGGCTGTCGCCAGCCCTTCTGGGCCGGCGGGGACGGGGGCGGGGGCGGAGCGTTGCCTTTTCTGGCCTGAGGAGGAGTGGCCGTAGCCCAGGAGGCCACTTACTTGGCCACTGGGCTGGTTGCGGTCACACGCGTCGAGCGTCCCGGCGACCCAGCTCCACTCCCTCTCCTGCGCTTCGCGGAAGGCACAGCGCACTCTCGGGCTCACCGCTTGAGCTCGGCTCTCCGTAGCCTCTGAATTTGTGGGCATCTCCAGCCGCTACCGCGAACAAGTCCCTCCATCCTCCTATTAGAGGGGCCACATGAGCCCCGAGACCTCCTGCCCGTGGATGGGCCACCTGCCTCGCCTCCAGGTGAGGACCTGGATTGAGCCCGTGGTGGCCTCGACCCAGGTGGCCGCCTCCCTCTACGACGCGGGGTTGCTCCTTGTAGTGAAGGAGTACTACGACGCTGGGGGGTCCTCCAACCACAGCGCCAGCCCGTCGACCCGGGGGGCTGTAGAGGACCAACAGCAGAGGGCCATCTCCAATTTCTACATCATCTACAACCTCGTGATGGGCCTGACGCCCCTCCTGTCCGCCTACTGGCTGGGCTGGCTCAGCGATCGCTACCACCGCAAGATCTCCATCTGCGTGCCCCTGCTGGGCTTCCTGCTCTGCCGCCTCGGGCTGCTGCTCAAGGTTCTGCTGGACTGGCCATTAGAGGTGATGTACGCGGCGGCGACGCTGAAGGGGCTGTGCGGCGGCTTCTCGGCGTTCTGGTCCGGAGTCATGGCCCTGGGATCCCTGGGCTCCTCTGAGGGCCGCCGCTCCGTGCGCCTCGTCCTTATTGACCTGATCCTGGGCTTGGCGGGTTTCTGCGGAAGCATGGCCTCCGGGCACCTCTTTAAGCAGATCGCTGGGCGCGCCAGGCAGGGCCTGGTGCTGACGGCTTGCAGCGTGAGCTGCGCCACTTTTGGCCTTTTCTACTCCTTGTTGGTGCTGAAGGTCCCTGAGTCGGTGGCCAAGTCCAACAAGGCACTCACCACCGTGGATACGGTGTCTGGCATGGTTGGCACATATCGCACCCTGGATCCTGATCAGTCAGAGAAGCAGAGTGTGGTGGGGCATCCCCCACCTCTTGGTAAAGGAAAGCCCCCAAAAGCCATCATTGCCCTGCTCTTTGTGGGTGCCATCATATATGACCTGGCAGTGGTGGGCACAGTGGATGTGATGCCACTTTTTGTGCTGAGGGCACCTCTCAGTTGGAACCAAGTGCAGGTGGGCTACGGTATGGCTGCAGGGTACATCATTTTCATCACCAGCTTCCTGGGCGTGCTGATCTTCTCCCGCTGCTTCCGAGACACCACCATGATCATGATTGGGATGGTCTCCTTTGGGTCTGGAGCCCTCCTCTTGGCTTTTGTGAAAAAGACATACATGTTCTACATTGGTGAGTCTGGCATTCTCAGGAGGAAGGCCGCTGCAGGCCCCTGCCTCACCAGGCTAACATCAGGGATGCTGTGGTGCAGGTGTGCCAGCTCAGCACCAGGCACTGTACCTGCTACCTAGGAGGTACAAGGGAAACAGGATTATGTGCACTTGAGTTTATCTCTTCTAAGGTGTTGCTGATAAAAATGTTACCAGAATGGTGTCCCTGGCTCTAGGAGGTCAACGTGGGTGGTGTTGGTCAGTGATGCCCAGAGTGAATAAGGAAGTCTTCAGGATGGCCTTGGAAGGAGAGGGAGAGTGGGTTGAGTCTCTTCTCCCCAATTTTAAAGGGATAAAACATTAAGTAATCTTGCTGAAAAGGCACCTTACTTAAAATCATTTTGTGCCAAGCAAGGGCTTTTTAAAAATGGATTAAAATTCTCAATAAATTCCCTCCACAGCCAACGTAATAAATTTTCTCAGGAAGCAAAATGAAGTTTCCATCAATGACACAAGCAGAAAGTTCGAGACCAGTACTGCCCAATAGAACTTTCTACAGTGATGAAAAGGTTCTATATCTGTTCTGTCCAAGACATTAGCCACTAGTCATATGTGGCTATTGAGGACTTGAAAGATGACTATTAAAACTGAATAGAACTTTAAATTTAGTTAATTTTACTTAAATAGCTACACATGGCTAATGTATTAGAAAGTACAACTCTAGATGGTTACCAGAGGCTGTGCCAGGGCCCAGGTCACATGCCTCAGAAAAACACCTTAAAAAATGACGAGGATACCTCTGGCTAACTCCGAGTTAGATCAGCCACGTGGAAAGACCAGAGTACCATTATCTTTGCCCTTTCCCCCTTCCCTTGTCACATTCTCTTTCTTCTCTCCCTTCCCCTTCCCCGTTCCTTCCTCCTCCTTCTTCTTCTTCCTTTTCCTTTCCTTTTCTCCTTCCCCTTCTCCTCCCTTTCTCTTCCTCTTTCTCACACACACACTACATCTGGGTAATCAGTAGGGATAGGGCTTGAGGGAAGGAGGGATGTGTAGGCAGCTGTGCTGATGGGACATGTATTTGGATGCAATTTGCCAAAGCTCCTGGGAACCATCTCCCAGAGGTGACTGCCATGTTCGTGAATGGCAGGCACCTCCCTCCTGGGGAGGCAAAAAGAGGGAACTTGAGTCACTTCAGGGGCACCAGCTCCACTTCCCTAGAAACCAATGAACTCTGTCAATAGAGACATCCTTCACCACCTGTCACCATATCAACTGCACCCTGCCACAGATAAATATGCAGCATATACAGCTCCATCAGAGTGCTAGGAGTCAGAGTCTGGCCTGGGGAGAGCACTAATCAGTCCACCGAGAAATTGCTTTCTTCAGGTCAAGCCACCGGGGATTGTGGTAAAAGAAATTTCTAAGTGAAGCTTTCGCCTGGTTCTAATTTACTCCTTGGCCAAGGGCAAGCCTACAAGGAGGAGTCTTCTTGTGTGATCTCTTTGCAGCTCGAGCCATCATGCTATTTGCTCTGATCCCCATCACAACCATCCGATCAGCAATGTCCAAGCTCATAAAGGGCTCCTCTTATGGTGAGTGAAAGGGGTCTCTCTGGGTCTTCTGCCAGGGCTGCCTCGGAGCAGCTCAGCTTGGGGCATAGGGTTCAGACCTGCAGGAGGCACACAAGAGAGTTCCAGAAGCAGCATCAAACACATGAGGAATACACTGGTTTCCATCCAGGGCAGAGGGGGTGAAAACAGAAGGGTGGGAAAGACTGAGAAAGACAGTTACTGAAAAGACACAGTCAAAGAAAAACATTATCCTCACAGGTGTCAGGGAGCTCCAGCTGGATGGAGGCAGAATTCCTGGTGAACTGATCCCCCAAGACTGAGGGGGAGTCTTGGGAGGGGCTAGGGATTCCCTAAGAGCTCCCCAGAAACTCAGCTAGTGGAGGATAGGGAAGGGACAGCAGCACTTTTTTTTTAATTGTTGTAAAATTATATATAACACATTTGCCAATCACTGTTTTTCATGTGTGTAATTCAGTGACATCAGTTACATTAAGCATGCTGTGTAGCACATCTTGATAACCTCTGTCCTTTCCACAGGAAAGGTGTTTGTCATACTGCAGCTGTCCCTGGCTCTAACCGGGGTAGTGACATCCACAGTGTATAATGAGATCTATCAGCTCACCATGGAAAAGTTCGTCGGCACCTGCTTTACTCTCTCCTCCTTTCTCTCCTTCCTGGCCATCATCCCTATCGGGTAAGACAGGAGCAGTATCTGCTGTTTGGGCTGGAGGCTTGGTGCTTAAGTCAAGGAATGTTGGGCCATCTCCAGCCCACCCTGTTTCAGCATTTATGCAGTGGGTTCCAAGCAAGCTCTCTCACAAAGAAAAAGTCCTCCTGTTTCCCCAAATCAATAATCTGGCAAATGGGGAATTTCCCAAAGTCCTGAGTAGTGACCAGAAGGCTGCAACCTGCTGACTCACTTCTGGGCTGTGTTGTAATGACAATTCATTTACAGGAGCTCTTATGCTTGCTTGTAATCAGAAGCTGGGATTAGCAACTCTCTTGGACCACTCAGTCCTCCTCTGTTTAGTTTCCTTAGATGAGAGCCATCCTGCCTCACTTCTGAGTACTTCCTGTGTCCTCAGAGGGCTTGACACTTGGCAACCTCTGTGCTCAGTGCCACTGAAAAGTCCTGGCCACTGGACTGTGTGAGCTCCTCTGTAGGGCCTTCCACAATGCCCTTGACTACTCTGGACCTCACTGGTCTCATTTGTAAAATAAGAGCACTCAAGTCTGGGAGCTGACAGACAGGAGGAAGGCTGGAGAAGCTAAGGAGAGGCACTGTGGTCCCATAGGAAGAGCATTAGCCTAGGTCATCCACAAAACCAAGAGCTGGGAATAGTTTGGTCTTCGGCCCTACTCTGGACCAGCCCTGTCCAATAGAAACATAGTGCAAACCCCAAATGTGAGCCAGGCAAGCGATTTTAAATTTTCTGAGTCACCACATTAAAAAAAGTTAAAAGTAACAGGTGAAATTCATTTTAATAACATATTTGACTTAACCCAATATATATCATTTTAACATGTAATGAATTAAAAAATTATCAATGAGATATTTTACATTTTCTTTTAAAAAATTTTTTTGTACTAAGTCTTCAAAATCTGGTATATGTTTTATATTTACAGCACATCTCAATTCAAACTAGCCACATTTCAAGTGTTCAGTAGCCACATGTGGCTACCATACTGGGCAGCACAGCTTTAGATGGTTTAGGCCCTTTTACTCCGTCCCCTTAACTGAGGGTCTCTCATGCTTGTATCAGTCCCACCAGAAGAGAAAGGAATATGATAAATATATCCACAGTAAGGTACAAGAGATTTGATATAAATTTGTATTTTAAGAAGGCCCATCTAGAGGCAGATGAGAGCTTTACCTATGAGTAATGTCAGAGGCAGCAGAGTGAGAACTATTTGAAGGCAGGTTGGAAGAGGCAGGGAGTGGATGGTAATAAGGCCCTTTTTGGAATTTTTACATGACATTATAATGTGGGTTTCTGTCTATAGAGAAGATTGAACCTCCTAGGACAGTTCGTTGCTTTATTTCATACTTGAGAAGACTATGATATGAAGATCGAACAGCTGAGAGAACTTGTGCATGGAGCAGACATTGTTACCAGTTAGTGGCCTCTTGGCTCAGCTCTCATTTTCCTAAGGTGTGGGACTAAGCCAGACCCGTCCTCCAACTGCCCAGCCCTTAGGCCTCTTCATGTGCTCCTGTTTTCATCCAAGTGCTGACTGAGCAGGATGGACGTGGCTAGAGCTAGCTTGGGATGTGGATTTCTTAGGAGTCCCAGCCCTTTGGCCAAGTGGGTAATGGATTAGTCGTTTTGCTCCTTGAAAGTTATTCAGTCATATTTGAGTGGCAATTGGCTAAAGTATTCTCTTTAACCTAATACCTACACACAAAGAAAACAAGTCTTACTAGTTAATGTGTGTCATAGCTAAAGATAAAAACAGGCAAATGAAAGCAATTAGAAAATTCAATAATTGGTTCCTTTCTACAAGTTTCATCTGCTTTGTGTGTGTATTTAATTCAATTAAACCATGCAGGGTCTTTCTTTTTTTCTTTTTTTTTTTTTTATTGTTGTAGTTTAAATGAACTTTACATTTCAGGTTAGTCTCCCATACAAAAATTTATACATACACTGTTATGCGACCCTAATTGCTTTTCCCTTACTGTGACAGCACACTCCTTCCCAACACCCCCGATTCCCCATGTCCACTCAACCAGCTCCTAACCCCCTCTGCCTTCCCATCCCGCCTCCAGACAGAAGCTGCCCGTTTAGTCTCTTGTATCTACTTGAGCTAAGAGGCACACTCCTCATGAGTATCACTTTATGTCCCACTGTCCAGTCCAATCCCTGTCTGAAGAGTTGGTCTCAGAAATTGTTTTAGTTCTGGGCTGATAGAGAATCCAGGGGCCATGCTTTCTGGGGTTCCTCCAGTCTCAGTCAGACCATTAAGTCTGGTCTTCTTACTAAAATTTGAGTTCTGCACCCCACCTTTCTCCTGCTCCATCAGAGACCTTCTGTTGTATTCCCTGTCAGGGTGGTCATTGGTGGTAGCCAGGCACCATCTAGTTCTTCTGGTCTCAGGCTGATGAACTCTCTGGTTTATGTGGCCCTTTCTGTCTCTTGGGCTAATACTTTCCTTGTGTCTTTGGTGTTCTTCATTCTTCTTTACTCCAGGTGGTTGGGACCAATTGATGCCTCTTAGATGGCCACTTGCAAGCTTTTAAGATGCCACTCACCAAAGCAGGATGCAGAACATTTTCTTAATAAGCTTTGTTATGCCAGTTGACCTAGATGTTCCCTGAAAGCATGGTCCCCGGATCCCTACCCCTGCTACTCTGTCCCTCAAAGTGTTTGCTTGTATTCAGGAAACTTCTTAGATTTGGTTTAGTCTAGTTGTGCTGACTTCCCCTGTAGTGTGTGCTGTCCTTCCCTTCACCTAAGATAATACTTGTCTACTATCTAGTGAACAACACTCACCCTCCCTCCCCACCCTCGTAACCATCAAAGAATGTTGTCTTCTGTGTTTAAACCTTTTCTTGAGTTCTTATAATAGTGGTCTTACACAATATTTGTCATTCTGTGACTGACTAAATTCACTCAGCATAATGACCTCCAGATTCCTCCATGTTATGTTTCGTGGCTTCACTGTTGTTCGGTATGGTTTCGTAGTATACCATTGTGTGGATATACCATAATTTGTTTATCCATTCATCCATTGATGGGCACCTAGGTTGTTTCCATCGTTTTGCTATTGTGAACAGTGCCACAATGAACATGGGTGTGCATATATCTATTCGTGTGACAGTTCTTATTTCTCTAGTATATATTCCAAGGAGTGGGATAGTTGGATTGTATGGTACTTCTATTTCCAGCTTTTCAAGGAAGCGCCAAATCGATTTCCAAAGTGGTTGTACCATTTTACATTCCCACCAACAGTGTATAAGTGTTCCAGTCACTCCACAAGCTCTCTAGAATTTATTATTTTGTGTTTTTTGGATTAATGCCAGCCTTGTTGGGGTGAGATGGTATCTTGTTGTAGTTTGGATCTGCATTTCTCTAATGGCTAATGATTGTGAGCATTTCTTCAAGTGTCTGTTAGCCACCTGAATATCATCTCTGGCGAAGTGCCTATTCATATCTTTTGCCCATTTTTTAACTGGGTTATTTGTCTTTTTGTTGTTGAGGTTTTGCAGTATCTTGTAGATTTTAGAGATTAGACACTGATCCTATTTGTCGTAGCCAAAAATTTTTTCCCAGTCTGTAGGTGGTCTTTTGGCTCTTTTAGTGAAGTCTTTTGATGAGCATAAGTGCTTGATTTGTAGGAACTCCTAGTTATCTAGTCTCTCTTCTGGAGCTTGTGCATTGTTACTTATGGTTCATATTGTGTTTATGCCATGTATTAGGGCTCCTAGCATTGTTTCTATTTTTCTTCCATGATCTTTATCATTTTCAATTTTATATTTAAGTCTTCGATCCATTTTGAGTTAGTTTTTGTGCATGGTGAGAGGTATCGGTCTTGTTTCAGTTTTTTGCAGATGGACATCAGTTATGCCAGCACCATTTGTTAAAGAGACTGTCTTTTCCCCAATTAATGGACTTTGGGCCTTTGTCAAATATCAGCTGCTCATAGGTGGATGAATTTATTTCTGGATTCTTAATTCTGTTCCATTGGTCTTTGTATCTGTTGTTGTATCAGTACCAGGCTGTTTTGACTACCATGGCGGTATAATAGGTTCTAAAATCCGGTAGTGTGAGGCCTCCCACTTTGTTCTTCTTCTTGAGTAATGCTTTACTTATTCTGGGCCTCTTCGCAGTGCAGGGTCTTAATGATCGTGTATCACAGAAGCAGGAACAGAACTTTGAACCAATCAAGTAAGCAACTTACTGACTGCTAATTGTTTTCCTCTGTTGTAGCCATTTAGCAATAGAGGGACACATATGCAAATAAAGCCTCATTCTCTGCACATTTGAATCAACTGGAGAGTGTTAAACATTACTGATGGCTGGGCCTCACCCTAGAGATTCTGACTCAGTTAATCTGGGTTGCAGCCTGGGCATGGGAATTTCTAAAAGCTCTCCAGGTTATTTTAATGTACAACCAAGACTAAGAACTTCTAATATACAGGGAGTGTTTCCATTATCTTTACCTTTCACAAAGAACTAAATAAATGAGGTCCTTAAACATTCTTACAGGTAAAAGAGGCCAAGGCTGTACCATCAATCATTAAGTGAGAGTAACAGGAAAGACCAGTATAACTTTCTAAACAAGAAAGAAAAGCTACATTCCAGCAACGTAAAAACCCAAGGAGGTATGTCAGAGCAGAAGAGAGCAGGAAGCTGGACTGGGTCACAGTCTGCATTCTCTTCCTGGATGCCAGGAGTGGCTCCTGGAACAGAGCTGACAACAGCCTGTTTGCAAGCCGAGGGACGTGGCCCACCCCTTCCTGGTACCATGGTGAGCCGATCTCATGTCACTATAAGAATCTGCCATCTCCTCCTTGCTCTTGTTTACACACAACATGGAAGAGCTGAGGAAATAGCTATGTGGCTCTGCCCATCCACAATGCTCTCTCCACCAACACACATGCACTCAGCTAATGCCTCATGTTTCATAGAGAAAACAGAGGCCATCAGAAGAGAATAACTTCATCTTCTCCAAAGTAAACAGACAAACCTATGTGCATTTGCACCCATTCTACTCTTTTTCCTTTTATTAATTTTTTGTACAATGATAATAATAGCAAACATTTAAATAGTCCTTACTATGTGGCAGGCACTACTTGAAGTATTTTATATATTTTAACTAATTTAATCATCCCAACAGTCCTATGAGGTAATTACTATCATTATCCCAATTTTACAGATGAGGAAACAGAGACTTAAAGATATTATGTAATTTGTTGAAGGCTAAAGGAGACTTGGTGGCCCAACAGTTAAGCACTTGGCTGCTAACCAAAAGGTTGGCAGTTTGAACCCATCCAGCTGCTCCACAGGAGAAAGACTTGGCGATCTGCTCCTGTAAATATTAAAAAAAAAAAAAAAACCTGCTGCCGTTGAGTCGATTCCGACTCATAGCGACCCTATAGGACAGGGTAGAACTGCCCCATAGAGTTTCCAAGAAGCACCTGGTGGATTCGAACTGCCAACCTTTTGGTTAGCAGCTGTAGCACTTAACCACTATGCTACCAGGTTTTTCCCTGTAAGGATTACAGCCTAGAAAATCCTATGGGGCAGTTCTACTCTGTCACATGGGGTTGCTACGAGTCAAAAGTGACTCAACAGCACCTAACAACAACAAATAGCTAGTAAGTGGCAAAGTCAGAGTTTGAACGCATGTAGTTTTCCTTTTCTTTTTTTGAATTTTATTTTGCTTTAGGTGAAAGTTTATAGCTCAAGTTAAATTCTCAAAAATTTATACACGTTATTTTGTGACATTGGTTGCAATCCCACAATGTGACAGCATGCTCCCCCTTTCCACTCTGGGTTCCCTATGTCCATTCATCTGGTTCCTGTTCCTTCCTGCTTTCTCATCTTGCTTTTAGGCAGGAGTTGCCCATTTGGTCTCATATATTTGATTGAACTAAGAAGCACGTTCTTCATGTGTGTTATTGTTTGTTTTATAGGCCTGTCTAAATCTTCGTCTGAAAAATGGGGTTTGGGAGTTATTTCAGTTCTAAGTTAACAGGGTGTCCAAGGGCCATAGTCTCAGGGGTTCCTCTAGTCTCTGTCAGACCAGTAAGCATGGTCTTTTTTCATGAATTTGAATTTTGTTCTACATTTTTATCCCGCTTTGTCTGGGACTCTGTTGTGATCCCTGTCAGAGTGGTCAGTGGTGGTAGCCAGGCACCATCTAGTTCTTCTGGGCTTAGGCTGGTGGAGGATCTGTTTCATGTGGTCCGTTAGTCCTTTGGGCTAATATTTTCCTCGTGTCTTTGGTTTTCTTCATTCTCCTTTGCTCCGGATGTGATGAGACCAATAGATGTATCTTAGATGGCCGCTCGTGAGCTTTAAAGACCCCAGATACCACTCACCAAAGTGGGATGCAGAACATTTTCTTTATGAACTATGCTATGCCAATCGACTTAGATGTCCCCTAAGACTGTAGTCCCCAACCTCCCACCTCAGCAACTCGGTCCCTCAAGGTGTTTGGATGTGTCGAGGAAACTTCTATGCCTTTGCTTTGCTGGCAGTTTTTCTTACCCACTACATGACACTGCTTCGCTCACCTCTTAGGGAGCTCACTCCACTGGTGAGCTGTTCTTTGTGCTGCATCTTCAACCTATCCCTCTAATGAATTCTTTCTACCAGAATTGACACATGATCTCCCACCCTCTCTCTCCTCCCTTCATACCAAGTTCTCCAAAGGCTGGTTGGTACATGCTCTTTCACCTCTTCACCTCCCATATACTTTCCAACCCACTTGTCTGATCCTCCCTTAACTCCACCAAAACCACTAATGACTTCTTCACAGCAGAATCCAGGGGACACGCTAGAGTCCTCATCCTCTGCGGTTTCTCTCTGGCCTCCAGGGCTTGACCGCTCTCTCCTCGGGAGACACTCATTTCTTGACTTTCATGACACCGCATTCTCATGGTTTTTTCTCCTACCTCCCTGATGGCTTCTTCTCTACAAACCTCCAAATGTAGGAATTCACTGGGGCTCTGTTCTGGCTTATCTTCACACTTTACATTCTCTCTAAGCAATCTAAAGTACTTCCAAAACTGTTATCATTTAAATTTCCAAAATTGGATTCTTGATGCCCTTCTAAATCTGCTCCCCTTTCAGTCTTTTCTGTCTCCTTAAATAGCACCACCACCTACCCAGGGCAGAAACCTGAGATCTACACTGATCTACAAACACTTTAAAGCAATGTAATGGTGATTTATGGACGAGATAAAAGGGCCTATGGAAAGGCAGAAAATGAGGCAGCTAACTCTGCCTAGGATTAGCAAAGGCTAATCTTGATCTTGAGATACAAGTAGTCCCTAACTTATGACATATTTGAGTTACGACGAACTGCACTTACGACAGTCTGGTTTTGTTTTTGTATATTTTATCACTAGTAATATGTACTATATACAATGTTGCAGCGCATAATTTGCTGATGTTATCACTCTCAGATGATTATTCACAGATGTTCAAAGATCAAATTTATAAAGATACTGATAATAAAAGGCAATAATAATGGAAACTAAAAAAAAAAGGTACTCGACTTACATCAGGACTTACTACAGTCGTTGGAACAGAAACCTGGTGTAAGCTGGGGACTACCTGCATAGATGGGAGCTCATCAGCAGGCAGAAATGAGATGGAAAGAGATTCCAGGAAAAGGAAAATGTAGCTGCACAGGGTTCATGGTGCTATGGGAAACAGGGAGAGGTTCAGGACTGCAAGACTAGAATAATTCTGGAGTGGGAGAAGTTCCCTCAGGTCATCACTCCACGCAGCACATTCTCTGTAGAGTAGTTTTGCCACAAGGTGTATAGCCAGGCAGTCTATCAATGATAAAGAGATAGCTAGAGATCTTCTCGACTTTGGTGGGGAAGAAAAAGGAATCCCCTACACCCCATTCCAGCTTTCTCTTGTAATTCTGTATTATAAATTCTTCCAGCATCGTGGCCTATAAACAAGTTCCACGGTCGCAATTCGAAGACATCACAGAAAAATGAAGGTGCTGACTTGTGGGAGCTGAAAACGCCAGCAATGGCCAGGCCTCCTTGAAGACAAAGGGAGAGACTGGGGAACTGGTGGCCAAAGCAACCCACGGACTAACAATGGCAAGAGTGGCAATAGCCAGAGTCAGCCTGAGAATGAACTATTCTGGTTCAGGGGGTCCTGGTTGGTGGGGAAACACACTTTCCTGGTGATGGAAGAACTTTCTCAGCTTTCAGATGCTCTATAGGGTGAAGTTAGGTTCTGCAGGCAGCAGAACATGATCCGTCAAAGGTTACATGCAGCACTGTAGAGGCTTCAGGCTCCAGCTGCGGACAACCAGCCCTTTCTCTTCCAGAAGACTCCAAGGTATGGCCAACTAGTCATCTGCGTGCTATGCTGGGTATCTCACATGGGAACTCAAGCAAAGGCATGCATTTTCAACAGCCTAAGAGATGTTTTGTAAGAACTGCCAGTTATCAGTGAACATCAATCAATATTTTCAAAATTAAATCTTGAAAAAAAGTTAGCTTTGTTTCCTGGGGCCTTTTTAGCTGTGAAGGTTCAGGACAGCCTTGGCCTCAGGGTAGGTTTTTGTTTTTTTTTGTTTTTTAAGACTCAAATACCGAAGACTTTCTTCAATGGAATATTAACTTGAGTACTTTGAATACTTAAGTTGAACACTTTCAGTCAATAATCCTTCCCAAAGGAGATAGTGTGAAGGGAGAGGGGAGAGGAGATATGTGAAAAGCCTTTTTATTTTGAGGTACTATTTGTATAGCCTATTTTCTTATGTAAATAAAATCAGACTTGCCTCCTAATAAAACCAGTATTCATAACATGGTATGTGGTCCTTCTTTCTCAGGCCAGATCCCTTCTGTAACTACAGACATGACAGTCTAAGGCTGAGGTAAAACACAAAGCCAAAGAATGCATTTAAATCTCAGAGCATTTGGGCTCAGAGAGTTTGTATCTCTAATCCCCTTGCAGGAAGTTACTGGGTGGCACAAAACAGTTAAGCACTCAACTGGTAACTGAAAGGTTGGCGATTCAAACCCGCCCAAAGACTCCTCAGAAGAAAGGCCTGGCAATCTGCTTCAAAAAGGTCACAGCACTGAAAACCCTATGGGGTGCGGTAAATGAACAAAACTTTATGGTACATCTGTTAAGGTACTGGCGCCATGCTAAGTGCTGAGAAACAGTGAGAACAAGACTTAACTGTTCCTGCCCTAACAGAGTGTATTGTCTGGCAGATGGGGCAGACAGAACAGCAGGCAGTGATGTATCCTGTAACAAATGCTAAGGTATAAATATATAATGAGGCCCCAATAAAGGCTCTTGACACGGAAGTTCCATGGGCTTCCTCCTTGGTGAAAGACATCAATGCATGTGGGAGGATAGTGTATCCTTTTTTGGAACAAGGAAGTTCTGCATCAGGAAACTTCCCAGAATTTGCCCTATGTGTCTCTTCGTTTGTATCTTTTTTCCTATAATAAAACTGTAATCCTAAGAATAGCACTTTCCACGAGCTCTGTTAGTCACCTAATTATCGAATCCAAGGGAGTAGAGGAAGACAGCAAGTCAAAAGTGAGGGTGTCACGGGAACTCCCAAGCTTGTGGCTGTGTCTGAAGTCTTGGGCAGACTTGGCAGTTTGAAGAACTGTGCCCTTTAACACTTGAGGTCTGACCTAGCTCCAGGTGGTCAGAGTCAGAGGAAGAAACGCTACATGTTCAGCTTGTGTCAGAACAGAAGTGGAACACAACTGATGAGTGGGATTTGATTTTTTTCACACAGTAGGTATGTCTTCATTTCAAAGATCACAATACTGAAGTTCAGAGAGGTGACTTGCCTAAAACCACATTGCTAGTAAGAGAAAAAGCTAAGACTTGATCTCAAGTCTTTCTTATTCCACCTTGCCGCCTCATTGTGTGACTGCAGACTTATTTTAATCATGAGTAGTACCATGAGTAGCATCAGTAAGCCAAGTTCAGCACCAGTTTAAGTCCATTTCCACAGTGCATTGCCATCGTTAAAGCAGCCCTGGTTGGACAGTGGTTAAAGTGCTCATCTGCTAACCAAAAGGTTGGTGATTTGAACCTACCAGCTGCTCTGCGGGAGAAAGATGTAGCAGTGTGCTTCTGTAAAGATTTACAGCCTTGGAAACCCTATGGGCGGTTCTACTCTCTCCTATAGGGTCACTTTGAGTCAGAATCAACTTGGTGACAGTGAGTTTGGTTTTGGTTTTCCCATCATTAGGTACAGCTCAACTGCACTCTGGCCCCTAATTCGCAACACACACTAACACCCTAACGAACCACAGACATTTCTTCTTTCCTGTGATCATTAAGGTTGTGTGTCAACTTGACTGGGCCATGATTCTCAGTCGTTTGGCAGTTATGATGCAGTCCCGCAGTCCTATAATGATGTAATCACCTCCATGATGAGATCTGATATAATGTGATCACTGCCACGATGGGATCTGCTGTGAATAGCCAATCAGTTGAAAGGGAATTTCCTTGGGGGGTGTGGCCTGGACTTTCTAGCAAGGCTTGAGGGCTTTTACTTGCCCTGGATCCTCCAGCTGTCACCTGTTCATCTGACCTCTGGTTCTTGGGACTTGAGCTAGCAGCTTACCTGCCATCTTAGGATTCATTAGCCTCCACAGTCCTTGAGACAGCTGCCTGCCAGCTTACCTGCCAATCTTGGGTTCGCCAGCCCCAGCAGCTATGTGAGTCAGGAGAAGCCTTCAGCCTGACCCAGGGACTTAGGACTTTCTAGCCTCTACAACCGCATGAGCCATTTCCTTCATATAAATCTCTGTGTGTATATATATATATATATATATAAAAGTGTGTATGTGTGTGTATATATATATATATGTATATATAAACCAAAAAAACCAAACCCGTTGCTGTCAAGTTGATTCCGACTCATAGCGATCCTATAGGACAGAGCAGAACTGCCCCATATGGTTTCCAAGGAGTACCTGGTAGATTCAAACTGCCAAGCTTTTGGTTAGCAGCCGTAGCTCTTAACCACTATGCCACCAGGGATTCCAATATATATATATATAGATACTTCACTGGTTTTCTTCTCTGGAGAACCCAGCCTAAGACATTTTCCTGCAAATTCTTTGGAAACATCATGGTAGCCAAAAGAAATTAGGAAATGACCAGCCTTGACCTAAAACATGATGTTGTGCTTTGCTATGGGATGGAATAAAAAGAAACCCTTCACATAATGTCATCGTGCCCACCAATCACTACGGTTACATTTAGACACTAGGTAGTTTCTTCATTTCCCCAAATTGGTGCCAACTTGTAAGATATAGGAGAGGGTAAGTTGAGGATGGTTCTATAAAGAAATGAAGACTCAAAACAGTTCAATTATAAACTTGGAAACGAGTGGTTGTCGCAGACCATGGTGAATGTAACAAACATCACTGACTTACATGTAAAAATTGCTGAAATGTTTCGTTACATATTTCACAATAAAACAATTTCATATGTTCAGTTATATTTTTTCCTGTTGCTCTGTATATCCTGATTCTTGAAAACTGCTTTCTCTTTAGAGAAGATAAGAAAACGGAAAAAAAGCATATTTTCCCGTCCCACACATAGATACAAATGAGAATATGACTCAAGATAAAGAAAGCATCTTTTATAGGTTTATTGGTCCATTACTTTAAGTTAACTGAGGTAAAGAAACTCTTTAAAATTTACAAGCTAATGGTTTATCAAGCAATACAAATCCTTTTTTTCTTACCTCAAAGTGTAATACTAATCCCATAGTAAACAACAGATATTTTTAAATACACAGATATATGAAAAAAAGGTGGACAAAAACCTCGTGCCATCATCAAAAATTCAACAAAAACATTTTTTTTTTTCTTTTTACAGTCTCTGGGTTTCATAATAAAAGAAAAAGGTGACATTCTTTTTTAAAGTTTGGTACCTTCATGAAACAAAGACTTTGATCTGTAAATAAATCACTTTCTCATCTACACACACTCTCTCAAGCACATTTTGTTTTCACAGCTTTTGTTTTGGCTTAATGGCAGCATGGATAAGAGAACACATTTACATAGAGGACTTTATCAATACCTCAGAAAGTTTTTTCTTTTTAAATTTTAAACATAAAGAATGATTTTTAAAATAAATACAGTCCATAATTTGGACATGATCTAAGCACAAGTTTTTATCTCTTCTTTGACAGTTAAAATACAAGTTAGAAAGTTTGCTGGCAGTTTTCTTCATGGGAATTTATCAGATCTGCATCATCCTTCAATGCATTCCCCACTCACAAGAGATGGAGGGAACAGGCACGCAGAAGTACAATGGACAAGGCCCAAACCTTAGGGGTGCCTGCGAGGCCAGTGCTGATGGTTAAGAGATGCTGGTTTGTTATTTGATGAAGGCCCATCAGACCGTAACAGGCATTGCTTTACATACTGACTCACATTTTTGTTTGCAGTCTACTTTTCCTCTCTCCCCCATTTCCAAACTGAGGAAAAGAGATCCATTTTCCCTTCCTCTCTCTTTGTATTATTTGCTGACTGAAGGGTTGGTCTGAGACTATGAACAAGCCTGTCAAACAGGGGTGCTAAGAGGTATTACCTGCTCTGACACAGCCTACAGAGAGCCCAGAATCACCTGGTGGGAGGGTGGTTGGTGTTTCTGGGAGAGGTGCACATGCAATATTCATCATCACTGGTTTTAGTAGGAAAAGCTCTGCTAAAATGGACTGAATTATGTGAGTCAATATGTTTTATGTTTTTGGCATTTCCATCTGTGGAGAATTCCTATCCAAAACATACTGCTTTGAGCCCCCCCTCCCCCGAATCTTAAAAAGTTGTTCTGCAGAATTGGGGTAAATCTATAGATTTCTTTGTATCTATATGATTTGCCGTTGCTGATACCATATCCTCTACAATTAAAAGTGTGCCAAAAAGGCACTAAGTTAACGTCTTTTCATACTTTAAAACAAAAAGAGGTTTTGTGGTCCCTGTGTTTCCTCACATTATGAAAAAATACCATTTGGCAATAGCAATACTTAGCTTTGTCCTCCAAAAAGGCAGCCTTAGTTATGAACCTCACTTTCTTGCTTGTTTCTTTAAGAGAACTGAGGACTGGCTATATCTATAGTAATTAAGCTGAACAACTAACTTCCAAAACTCTACCCAGAATTTAAAAAATACTAGTTGAAGAATAAGGCATATTAGTAGGTGTTGACAAATTTCTCAAAAAGCAGAGTTCAACTTTTAACAGTCTGTGGCATTTTTAAAATTCTGGATTTGCTGATTTTCAAGTGCTAAATACAAGAATGTTTATATACGAGACAAATATCTTACTGGTTTGCTAAAGTTCTTTTGTCAAAGCACTTATCTACAGACCATCTATAGTAGTAAAACTACCAGGATTACAGATTCTTCTGTGACATAGAAATGGGTAGACAGTCATACCCAGAGTGCATTTCAAACATGATTACAAAAGAACAGTCAACACCACCACCCCCCCACCCCCCCAACAAGCCCCTTCCCGGTTCTACTGCACAGTCCCTGTACACTCTGTGCAACTCTGGGGAGGACCAGACAATAGTGAAACAAATGGTGACAAACTGTTGGGTGGGTTGGTAAGAAATCAGGCTCCTAGTTTCCTCACTGAACTAAACCACAAGAAAGAGAACAACTCTAACACACCTAGCTCAATCTGTAAGTTTGGCCCAGGAGATGACATTTTCCTCAAATTTACTGGTAAATGCCACCTGCTGTCTGAATAGAGAAAATGTAAGTGAGCGGGCATGTTCAATCTGTTATCTTGAGGACTTTTGAAAACAAGAAGGCCAACCCAAATTCCCAGCATAATTTTGTAAATGAGGACAGCCAAAGCAGTTTTGCCCCAGCATACAGTTATATTACCCAGTTTCCATAGGCCCTTAAGTAGGTGTCTGGGAAAGCGGGGTCTGGGATTGGTGTGCCGTGCCCTGCCCTGACAACAGACAGCCCATCTTCTGAGAGGATGCACCCTTTAGGGTAGCCAGCAACCCTATTGAACCAAAGTAGGTCCCTGTACTACCCCAAATCCCCTTAAGCCTCAAACAGATGGGGCCAACACAGACCTAGGAGGTTGCTCTTGACCTCATTTTCCCTCCTCTTTCATCAGCTCAGAGCAGAATGCATGAGAATGACTATTCTGCAATCCAGTGAACGGCATCAGAACAGAGCAGGTGCCTGTGATTTCAATGCTATCCATGGCAGGAGCAAGTCACATAAGCTCTGGGCAATCCTTGAGCCAGTACCTTCCCAGGCTAGAAACTCCCCTTGCAGACTACCACATGGCCATCATGCCCTCCTCTAAGGAAGAGCTTCCTACTGTCCCATCACAAGAGGCAGCCTCACAAGAAACGAGCAGCAGGTGTGCATTTAATTGCCTCATGCGGCGTGGCGACTAAGAAAATGCTGGAACACATTCACTTCAACATCCAGAATACACTGAGTGTGGCTGAAATTTGGCATGAAAACAAACTTATCTTACATTCACCATGGTCCCCAGAGTCATGCTGGTTTTTGTTATTTCAGCTAAAGAAAGGTGCCTGGTGAGTTCAACAAGCAGCATGGTGAGATACTGAGACAATCACCTCCATAATCACACTTATTTAAGTCACCAGGGATCATTATTAATGCCTTATTAAAGGATAAACCCAACCCCAACCTGGCTGTGTAGTGTGTTCCCTCCTCATTTAGAAGCAATGATTCCTTGCTTAGGACACAGTAACTTAGAATCTTCTTATAGATCCACCGCATTGACAAGGAACCTTCATAACTGCTATGAATCCCTCTCTTAAACATCACTTACATCTCTAAAATCTGCTGTTTTTAGGAATTCCCTCTTCCACCTTCACCTGGATTTTTAATCTGTGGTGAATGAAACCTTTCGTCTCCCAGGCCGAAAGCAGTTGCCAGGGACAATATTCCATTCCTCAGCAATCTCCTCAAGCCTCAAAAACCTGTCTGTCTGTCTAGAGGTAAGGCATGCCCTCAAGCACAAAACTCCTGGAAACTAAATATAAGACAGGAGTCTGTGATCTCAGGACAACGACCTTATGGAGCTAAGGATGGGGCAACAAAACTCCACAAAGCAGTCTTTGGCACAGAAGTCTCCGAGTTACACTTCATAAAAGGAATCACATTTGTGCTGATCAAGATGAAGAGGCAAATGCTTGGAACCGCCGACCCTCGAGAGCCCAAGAGAGCTGTGGGAGTGCAAAGGGCTGGAGAGCCTCCTTCCCTGTCTACTGTCCCCTTCCTTCAGGGCCAGCCTCCTCACCTCATTGATACCAGCCTAAAGAAAGGGACAAGGGTCCCTTCTCTGGAAAGACCATTTCTCCAAGGAAGTCAGTAATGTGCACTAGTTTTCCTGGCTCTGCTCTCAATGGCTAGCCTGGGGGACAAAAGATTTGCCTTGTTTCAGCTCTTTCTCATGTCTCAAAGCACAGGAATACCACATGGGGCCCCGAACAAAGAGAAGACAAAATTCCAAGGTGCTTGAGTCCCTTCAGTTCCCTGCCTCAAATAATGACAGGGGCATGGCTTTGCACCCCACTGCCTCCCCCACATCTCTTCTCAGGGAAGGACTAGATGATTTTTTTTTTTTTTGAAGGGCTGCCTTCCTTCCCAAGTAGCCATTACAGACAAATGTTCCTGGGCTTTGGCAACTAGCAGGTAGTCAGATTCTAGTTTTTAGTCTTTCCACAGTTCTTTCTAGTGTTCATTACACTGGGCAACATTTTTAAAGCACACGTTCCACAAGGCACAGCTTCAGACATCTCCAAAGGTGAGCATTTGCAGCTGGGCCAGCGTGGTGTCTTCTGACAATTATCACCAGATACGCACAACGATTCTACCAGCAACCTGTCAGACCAGACCCGGAAACCCATATCCACACCAACAGGATGGGTTGAGAGGTAGAATGAAATGCTGAATCACCACGAGGGGTAGTTGGATTGTTCTTATCCTTTCACTCCAATGAATCACTTCTAAGTGTGCCAAACTGCAAATTCACATCAGAGGACTTTAGGCTGGCACAAATGAGGTCTAACAGCACAGGCAAGTACCAAGAGATATGAAAATTATAATTTAAACTGGGACTTTTCAGACATGATGAAATAGAATCCAAGTGTTCTGGATCGTCCAACTGCTGCCTCAACAGCATCCCAGTGTGGCTGATACAAAGTCAACTCTGCAGTCAGAAGAATCCAGAGACTTCAACATGCTGCATGTTGACCGGTATGTGCACGTCACCTTGTGTATGAAGCAGCATCTCAGCACAGCTGTTTCATTTAGGAAAAAAAAAAATATTACCACTTATTTGAGGTTCAGATTTAAAATCTTACAGGCATGAGCCAGAGATGAAATAACACAAACATGATGTACACAGCTTCATTTCAGGAGAAAAAAAAAAGAGTTGGAAGATAGAACCTTTTCATCTGTTTGTTTTATGTTGATTTGAAAAGTAAACCTGGTAATACTTTGAAGTGAAAACTTTAGACACAGCCAGGAGTCTCTAGGAATTTGGCTGCAATTGAGGAGATTTTAGCCAAGCTAGAAGCCAAGAGTTCCCTGTTATACATGTTGTCTTAGAGGCTTGTCCAGGTACTGATTTTTCTTCCTCACTAGGAAATATTAAGGGTTAAAGCACTTCATGTAGAACATTCACATTTAGTTTACAAATTTAGACTGTGTCATAACAATACAACATCCCAGCCTCTCACCAAAAAGTTGTCCAAACATTCAGTGGACATAGTGGGAAATATTAAAGTAGGTATTTTGGGTGAGATAAAGGCAAACTGCACGAAGTAGACACTGGAGGTGGCTTGGAATGTCCACTGCTATCAATCATCGGGGAACTACTCTGACTTCAAGACAACAGACACCGCCAACAGGTCTAATCCCTGCTCTGATGACATTTAACAAGCAACAGAAAAACATTTAAGAACTTCACAGAGAAAGACGCACTTTTTTTTTTCTTTCCATTTTACACAAAGACAGTTTCTAATCGACTGCATTCTCGTGTCAGAAACAAGTTCAGGGAGCAGTCCCCTTAGCTTCCCAATGCATCGCATAAGGATAAAGATGCCGGCTTGCTTGTTCAAGCATGGACACATATAGACTCTGCGCTGATTTAAGTCATGAACCAGAAACAATAAACAGGTGCCACTCATCATAAGCAAGTAGCAGGCGACACTCACGGCTACAGGCCACCGTACATTAAGGACTTTCCACGGACGTGCCAATACCTCCTTCTAGGCTGAGACAAGTCAGTGCCCACTGAGGCCTATTCCAGAGCCACTGTGTACCCATAGGAAGCAACAGCTGCCCTGTATTCATACCTCCCTCACATCCTTGAAAAACAGGACCTGGATTCTCTCCTTCAATAGGCAACTCAGCTGCCCCAAAGGAAAACTGTAATGAGATGTCAGAATGTCCCTCAGTTTCAAATCTTAGTGTTCCATTTAATAGGTTCCTTCATAACACAGAGGTATGCTGCTTTTGCTGAGAGATGATAGTAGCCTCAGAGACTCCACTAAGGAATAAATATTAATTAAAAATGACTTTGGGACAAGGGAGGAAAGGGGATGAAATGCACACAGGAGAGATGTTTCTGTGGTTGTTTTCCCAACGCCGCCTCTCTGGCACTGCAGGGACATTCTGGTACGGGCAGCCAGGCCCTGTGTAGGTAGGAGAGTCTCTGTCCCAAAAAGGAACTTATTTGGCCTCTTGTTTCTCCTGCAGAAGTGGAATAATCGACTCCCACGCCGTGAGGCACTGAAATGACAACACACACACATAGTATCAGCATCAATTTTCAGATGTGGGGGTTGGCTTTCTAATGCTTCTCTGATCTATGATTTCACTGCCAATCCTGCTGGGTCAGCTTTGTCTAAAGACACCTACATGAATTATCTATAACTATTATAAACAGGGGAGGTAACAGGTGTTTGGTTTGAATGCATCACCCCTACCTCTTAAATGTAAATGCAAGGCTTAAATGCATTCATGTTAGTCCATAAAGCTCCTTCCTATCCAGTGAGTGGAAAGGTATCCATTAGAAGGAATTCTTTCCCTTCAAAAAAGCAGAAAAGAGAGCAGGCAGCAAGCCCTGGATTAGCTTGCGTAGATTCTCAGCCTGGATAGTGGCTGTAAACCACGTACGGGTAGTGCTTGCATAAGAATGTAAATCATAACTGGAACAGGCCAGGCACCTGACTCTTCAGATTTGCTTCTCTGGGCTACTTCTGGATCTCCCAAAAGGGAGAATGGGGAAAGGGGCCCAATATTTTTTGACTTATACTATGTCCCAAACACTTCTAGGTATTTTACATTCATTATCATGAGTCCTTACAACACTATGAGGTGAAATTATTATTATTACACATACACCCATTTAATAGATGGGGGAAAGGAGATCCAGAGAGGTTAAGTAACTTGCCCAAGACACACAATTAATAAGCGGCACAGCTCATGATTCCAAAACTGCTATTATTTCTACTATACCAATCTGCCTTCATTCCAGATCCTGTGAAAGACCAAGAATTCACAAGACCCTGGCATTCTCCTCCAAGAGCCCCCTGCTTGGCAGAAACACCCTCCCTTTGGGCACTCTTGTGTAAAGAGAAGAACAAGAGAACTGCACTAGACTTTTCTTAGAAGAAAGTCCAGGGATGAATGAAGACTTTGTGCAAGTCATTTGGGGAGGAGTCCTGAGGAGGTGGAAAAACAGAGGCATCCTTAGGTCAAGCCAGAAAAGGGAGTGGTGAAATCACTTCTGCTTCCTTCCTTGGTGACTGAGGTTGGAGAAGCATCTAGACTTGGAACTCTCCTCTACATAAGGAAGTCCAGGGAGCCTCAAGGAGCCTGCTCTCAGTGAGGGACCCAGTGTGGGGTCCGCAGCATTCCAAGTTCTGCTCTTTCCCTAGGCTGTCATGTCAGATCTGGAAAGGTCCTTCTACAACAGGGATGAGGAAGCGAGGCCACAGAGGCTTTCTTTTCAGTCCCCAAATGCATTAAGCTCTTTCCTACCTCAGAGCCCTCACATATGTTGTTCCCTTTGCCTGGAATACTTGTTCCCCAAGTCTTTGTCTCTGAAACTCAGACTAAATATTATTTCCTCAAATCGGCTTTTCCTGCCCACTCCACCTGTTCCCTTCCACCATAATCTGAATTTTGACCCTATTATTCTCTTCCAAGGAGTTCCTAGGTGGTGCAAATGGTAGGTGCTCAACTACTAGCCAAAAGGTTGGTGGTTCAAACCCACCCAGAAGCACCTCAGAAGACAGTCCTGGCGAACTGCTTCCGAAAGGTCAGAGCCTTGAAAACCCTATGGAGCAGTTCTACTCTGATACACTTGGGATCACCATGAGTTGGAATCGACTTCATGATAACTAACAGCAACAACAACATTCTTGTCCACAGGTTCCTGTTCTTTTCCTTTAGAGCACTTATCTCACTCTGAAGTTGTGGGATTCTTTGATTAATGTGTGTCCACTAGACTGAAGTTTCCATAAGGGCAGGGGTCCTGCTGTTTTGTTTATCAATGTATAGCCAGTACCTTACATGCAGTAAATACACAAGAAGTATTTGTTAAATGAATGTGGCAGCCAAGACTAGGCCCCAAGACCATGACCCTGTTTGTGGCATAGTGGGAAGGCTATCAAGCATAAATATAAGGCCTAGGTTCAAGTCTTGGGAATAGGGCCTTGGGACTGCTGGGATTAATCACCAAGAGGAGTGATGGAGACATCTGATCAAGTTGGCTTTGGAGTTGCGGGAAGGCCACTGAATAACGGAGGGAAGGTGAAGGGATCAGAGAAGGAAGTAACATTTACTGAATGCCTACTGTGTGCCAGATCTGTTCCAGATACTCACACATGCATTATTTCATTGCTTCTTCACAGTTGCACTGTGGAGAAGGATCACTCGCATTTTACAGATGAGGAAACAGAGGCACAGAGAGGCACCTTGCCTAAGCGCACAGTCAGGAAAGGAACCAGGCCTTGGCTTCACCTGGAGTGATCTTTCCGCCTTTGCACAGGTAGGACTGTTCCCAAAGCTGTGTGACCCCATACCCTACAATGACGGCATATGGGAGTAGCAACCATTCAGGTGTGTGGATGTGGCAGACCCGAGTTCCAATCCCAATTCAGTCACTCATAAGCTGTGTGACCTTGGGCAGTTTTAAAATCTTGCTGAGCCTTCAGCTTTAAATTAAGAATCATAAAATCCTCTTGATGCTGTTGTGGTGAGGGTTAAATTTAATGAGGTGATACATGCAAAGTCCAGCCTGGTTCCATCCCAGACACACAGCAGGAGCTCCATAAAAACTGTACTGAGTAAGGATCATGCCATCTTTCGTTTTTCCCTCTAACACAGTCCTTCCCCAAGACCTGGTAAGTGAGGGCTATCCTGTTGACTATTTCCCTACCCTACCTCCCCAAATGAACTTGAAAAGACAGACAGCAGTCAAAACCATCAGAGCCATCAAAAGAGATAGATTCTTCTAGCTTGGGATGAGGGCCTGTTTTAGAGATGTGGTGGGAGCAGCGAGTTAACACTTGTTCACTATGCTAGGAGGCTGCGTGTTTCCAATAGCTTGATTTCAAATCTATGTTACTTGTCGAATTGTGATTGGTCTATTGCTCATTTATAACTTTAAGTTTTTAAGGAATATCAAGATTCATTAGCAGAAATGATCTAGAATTCGATATATTAGAAGCAAACTTTGATTGAAAAGACTCAGCCAGAATCTGATGAAAGACAACCGTGCGTAACTGTGTGTTGGGGTGCTTAACCTGAGGCCCACAGTTCAAGGGGATCACGAATAAAACTGTTTTTAATAGAATCACTTTCCTTTGTAATCCTATATACCTGTATTTTAGGTATTTAAAAATCAGTATTCTGGTAAGGAGAGTCCCGGGTAGTACAAACAGTTAACACGTTCAGCTGCTAAATAAAAGGCTAGAGGTTCAAGCAACAGGCACCTTGGAAGAAAGGCCTGGTGAACTACTTACAAAAAAATCAGTCATTGAAAACCCTATGGAGCACAGTTCTACTCTGACATACATGGGGTTGTCATGAGTTTGAGCTGACTTGATGGCAAATGGTTTGGTTTTTGGTATTCTGATAAGGGGTCTACAGGCTTCAACCAAAGAGAGCCATGATACAATGAAAGTTAAGAACTCCTGTACATAGAACCCAAGAGAGCTTAAAGTAACCCTGAAGCCTCCATTCACCAGCAGCATCCCCACACTGACAGTATGACTGACCCTGGGAAGCAGCTAGCCACCGGGATCAAAGAGCATGGAAGATAAAAGTGCTGCTATTCTCGGGAGCATGTGCAAGTGAAACCCAAGTGAGTGGGGGTTAGCGGGTGACTCTGCTTCCAGACTCAGCACTATGTCTAGCACAGCTGAGCAAGAGCTAAGACTAAACAGATAAAATAAGGGAAGGAGATGGGACCGATAGGGCCCCCTGCTTTTGGATTTCAGGCGAGGCCTCACAAAAGGCTCTGGCCATTAGAGATGTTTCCTTAATGAGAGGGCTGTGGTCTTGTGGGGCTCACTCGTTACCTTTTCATAATATTGGATGTTCTTGTCAGCCATTCCCATAAGCAGCTGGCGGAAGTCCTGCCTCTTATTGTTCTGCCACCTCTCCATGTCAGCTTTCAGATCAGCATTGAAACACTCCATCCGATCCTGACATTTCTCAACGTCTGCTGGCACCTGGAAGGCGGAAGCATACATGGGTGCTTTGAAGGAGGCATACGCGGGTGTTTTGTATGTGTAGCTGGTATCTGATGCCTTGAGCTCCTCTGCTCACACATTTGTAAAGGGCCAAAGCACTACATGAAAATGCCATCAACACACTCTACCCTCTGGATGCATTTATTTGAAGGGAGAACTTTGGATTTTCAGGTCTAAGAAGGAGTTCTTCTGAAAGGGGCCATCCTGGCTCAAATCTATCTAAGCACAAGAGAAATTCCTGGGAGAAACACCTTGGTTTACCAGCAGGAAGAAGAAACATTGTAATTCAAAGAGTAATATGCCTTTGGTTCCTTTTAGGATACACATCCGTATAGACTTTGCAAATACACAGAGGTATTTGATATCACTCTGCTACTCTCCTGTGTCCCATATTAGAACTAGAAAAGAAGTAGATTTTCCTACTCTATGTGGAAATGTGAACTACTCCATTACATGTGAAGTTTGATAATGGTTCTCCTCATTAATCAGAAAATTAACTGCAATAAGACCACTGGCTGGCTTCCTCCTCTGAACCCTACATTACAAATAAACTGGAGATTTGTTTATGCACCTCCAGATAGCAGATAATAAAAAATTAGATAAGTCTAGGGCGGATGGCAGGAGAATTATTTATGCATGTCAAAAGAATCTGAAATACAAAGAAAAAAAGTATAGCAGACTATTTCAAGTTTTTCTTAAAGAGGTTTAGAAACCTTTCTCAAAATGGAACTGTCACTTGATTTCATAACTTACCACTTACTTTGGTGAGTTTTATCCATCGTATGCAGCCAGAGACAACCTTGTGCTTACGTGGGTTCCCAAAGCACAAAGCCAGCTTCTCTCCTAAAACTCATGTTCCACCGGCCCTGATGGTGGCCAAGGGGTCAGCATGCACAAAGCCGGGTCAAGTGCCCACTTGCCAACTGCTTTCCAACAATAAGTGAGGCCTTGTGAGTTCTGTGTGCTGGGACCTATGACTCCAAGTGTCTCCAAGCTACGGGTCAATCTCTACCAACCAAGGAAGTTTTATACCCAAGCCTTACAAGTGAAGAGCCAATCCAGAAACACTAATAATGGTGACTAAGTACTCTGGGCAACATTTAAAAAAAAAATAAGGTGGGGGGGACTTTTTTTTTTTTTTAAAGAGGGAAAAAGAAACCTTCTTCAAAGCACTTAAGCTTCTGGGAGAGAGAGAAAAAAAAGACACTGACTTTTCTTTGATATCATGACTGAAATCACTTTTGCCTTCCTCCACTGATTCACCCATTAGTATTGGCTACTTCAGGGAAAATGGAAATAAAAACGAGAGTGCCCTGCCTCTCTAGAATCATTCCCCCACAATGGACACCCAGTGAGTCACAGACAGCTTCACCTCCCTGCAGGCACAGCCCAGCTCCCTTATCTCCCTCCTGTCCACTGCTCATTTCAGTACTTGGATGAAAGGTCCTAGCAACTTCCTGTTTGCTTAACAAAACTACTGCTTTGAGGGGGAGAAGTGGAGCTCTGATGAGAGAAAAACATTGAAGCACAATGAGAAGAGTGAGGCTGGGGTCTCTGATTCAAACCAAAACACCAAAACTGTTGCCGTCAAGTCAATTCTGACTCATAGCGACCCTACAGGACAGAGTAGAACTGCCCCATAGGGTTTCCAAGGAGCGGCTGGTGGATCTGAACTGCTGACTTTTTTTGTTAGCAGCCAAGCTCTTAACCACTGTGCCACCAGGGCTCCCTGATTCAAAGAGGTTCCTAATTATCTAGGATAGATTCCTGGGCTCTGTTCTGGGATAGAAAAACCTGGTTGACCCAAAAAAATTAAGACTCAAAAACGACAGCTCTAGATTTTGTTTGCCTAAGCCTCAATTTGGGAAATATTTAATTTATCATTTTGACAACACACTTCATGCTGGCACTAAGGAATACAAAAGTGCTTATGTCTTAATAGACAAATCTTATCTCTAGGAGCTTACAGCCTAGTTTGGGAAGAAAAGATTAACATACCCAGATAATAATGTGAGGTGTTACAAGTGTTTTCATTTTGCTCTGAGAGCCTGTGATAAGACACAGTGAGGATGAGCTGGAAAATGCACGCATCCAACGTGGGTGAAGGATCAGGCTTCCTTGAGGAAATAGCAGAGAGGTGACTCTTCAAAGATGACAGAGGTGGGACATATGGCGATGGGGAAGAGGGCACTCTAGGGTGACAGTACCAGCAGGTAACAAAGGTGAGACCAGCTCCCAAGGGCATAGGGCACACAAGGGTAGATGGAGAGAGTTCTGGCTGATGAGATGGGGATCCGAGTGTGGAGGGACAAGAAGCCCAGGACTCTCTCTGAAGGCCAGGATTTCTGAGGCCCGGTAAACCCATACCCCTTTTGGAAAACACAAAAGCCTCATGCTTCCTCTAGCTGTAGCAGAGAGTTATAGAGTCAGACTTCTAGAGTTTGAATACCATGACTACCACTTACTAGATTTGTGACTTTGGGTCTCTCTCTGCCTCAGCTTCTTTTTCTGGAAAATAATAACTATTCTATCTTATAAGGCGGTTATAAGGTTCAGTGAGGTAACACACATAAAGCACTTGGTGCTTGGAGATATTGTGTTCAATAAATATTAGCTCCTATTGGTATACCCATTGCCATCAAGTCGACTCTGACTCATAGCGACCCTACTGGACAGAGCAGAACTCCCCAAGGACTGCCTAGTGGATTTGAACTGCCGAACTTTTAGTTAACAGACGTACCTCTTAACCACTATGCCACCAGGGTTTCCCATACTGGTATAGAAATTGTAAATCACTATTAACAAAAGACCTACAGGGTTGCTTAGAACTGACTTGACAAAAGTGAATTTTGGATTCACAAAAGATAATCTATCATTTGCATAGTGCCTCAAGTCAAGAATATTTTATTAAGCTTTACTCCTTGTGTTATAAGAGTTTTTTTGTTTACCAAATATAAAATATTTTCACATTATTAAATATGTTTTCAAACTTCATGCCACCTTTCACCCACTCTACCCCACCTTGAGATTTCAACACGGATCAGAGATGAGTCAACACTAAACTATAATGATACTGCCCCACGCACCCTGGAACCAAGGCGGTAACTGTGACACCAGAAGGGAGAGGATGGGTTAGTCTAACCTGGTGGAGACAGATTTGGCAACCAACTGCATGTGGGAAATAAGCTATCGGGAGTCAGAGAGGAGCCTGAAGATTCTAGTATGGATGACAAGGTTGGCAATAGTGCCACCATAGGGCTCAAGATAAAGGACAGGTCTACAGACACTGATCTGGACATTAGCCACATAAAAGGAATAGCTGCAGTCATGGAGCAAGAGGCTGAGGGTAGAACTCATGGAAAGACTACACTTACAGGGTTAATAAAGGAGTCAGCAAAGCTCACTAAGAAAGATGGCACAGAAGTAGGTGGTGAATTAGAGACAGCACAGCCAGATATTCCCAGGGATGGAGAGGCTTAGACAAAGGAGTGGGGGAGGTATTTAAAAAGAAGAGAGTAGGGATTGGGGTAAATTGTTAGAAGTGACCAGCTTGTGAAGTCGCCCCACTTTATAAAGTAGAGGACTGCTGGCAACAGACACCCAAGCCCAAGTTCCTCTCTCTTTGGTTTTCTTTTGAATAGAGTCTTTGTGACAATCAATTCACTGACCAGTAACACCTAGAATTCCTTTTTATCTAAATGTTTTGCTTTATGTGACTGAGATATTGTTAGACTTAACTGTTATCTTGTGTCTGAAGGATGCTGAGATGGCAATATCCAATATTTATGGCTGAGTGTTGCTTATCACAAGATACCAGGAAGAAAAAAAATCACCATATAATACCTCCAAACAAACAAACAAACAAAAACTTCTACATGGAGAACAAAACTACATTTTTCCCATTGGTTCCCCCATCTCCAATGAGAATTTCCATTACAGGATACAGGCTGCTGGAATGATGGGAGAAGGGTAATGTGGGATGGGATTGTGTATTTTGGTGTGTTGGGGTTGACAGTAACCTAAATTCACTCCACATTCACTTAAAAATATATTATTGAGCCTTTCCATGTGCCAGGTATTTCTAGGCCCTAGAATATAAATCTCTACCTATGTTTCCTTCTTGGAGCTGGGCTGGACATGTGACATTACCTGCTCCCATGATACCAGTAGGAATTAATAAAATTCCCAATCACTATACAAGGCAGATATCAAAACGTGGAGGAGGGAGGGTCATGGCTGCTGTGGGACAAATTTCAGGACCAATGACAGAATCTCTTCAAGATGGTACTCCTTTTGGCCAAATGCTGTGAGCAGATGGGGTACAACTTCCTAACTGGCGATATGTAAATGTCAGTGATATTGATTCCCCCCAGCTTCTGGAAAGCTGGAGCACCAGGGCTGGTCCCCTGGAGCTTCCAGCAACCTCATCTGTTTATCCCAGTGTGCCATACAAATATTTTTACCAACTTTGCAGTCTGAAATTGACCAAACATGCAATCAAGACACATCAATAATTACTGGCAAATGTAATATGGAAATTGGAAACAAAGAAGGATTGGTAGTTGGAAAACATGGCCTTGTTGATAGAAAGGACACCAGAGATTGCATGACACAATTTTGCAAGACCAACAACTTCTTCATTGCAAATACCTTTTTTCAACAACATAAACGGTGACTACATACGTGAACCTCACGGGTAGGATACACAAATTGACTACATCTGTGGGAACAGATGATGGAAAAGCTCAATATCATCAGTCAGAACAAGGCCAGGGGCCATGTGCAGAATAGACCATCAATTGCTCATTGGCAAGTTCAAGTTGAAACTGAAGAAAATTAGAAGAAGTCCACAAGAGCCAAAGTATGACCTTGAGTATATCCCACTTGAATTTAGAGATCATCTCAAGAATAGATTTGATGCACTGAACACTAATGACCAAAGACCAGATGAGTTGTAGAATGACATCGAGGACATCACA